CTGACAAATATTAATGTTTAAACAGAATCATAATACTTTGCTCAGTATCTAAACTGAAGATAAGAATGAACATTTAAATATTTGGTATATGTTGAATACAGACATCTATAGGTCACAATTCAATGACACAATTCTATGACATTTAAATTTATTATATAATATAAATATTAATATATATTATTATATATTGTTATATTTAAACTTCATATAAAATAAGTGACTTAATATTGAGAAAGGAACAGGAACATTTAGACTAATTTAGCTTCTTCAGTACAAATGGTACAGGGCTGTGGAAGAAGGGTCTCAGTTGTTTCAAGTCTCTGAGAACACATTAGGTCACTGAATATAACACCCTGGTGATTTGTTTGCTTTTGTGATAGCCAAACAAGATAGGCTGATTGAACCACTCACAGGTATTCATTCCTCAAACAAATATTTATTGAAGGATTTTCACTTCAGATACTGGGCTAGAGGATCTTATCCCATCACATAATTGAAATTCTACAAGTATTTTCATGTTATAATGAGGATTAAGTGGGTTAATATTTGTATAGTGTTAAAACAGTGTGTGGCACGTAGTAAGTGCCATACAAATATTTGTTAAATAAATTGTGTTGAAGAGTTAGTTGTAATATAATCTCTGTAAACGACTTTAGTTATTCATTTATTCTCTCTGAATGGTTTCTATCACCATAAAAGAGAGCAATATAGTCCCTAAGTAATACCAGCCAGAGAGCTGAGCACTGGAAACAAATCAACGTACACCACATAAAAGTCATTGGAGAAACAAAAACTTTGTAAGATTGGCACCGTAGATTTTATACCACCCTTAAACATTTATTTCATTTGTACTTATTAAGTATTGGATAGCAGGTTCTAATCTAACTACTTCATAAATAATAATGCATTTAATTCTTACAATAACCCTAAGACACTGTTATTCCTCCACTTTACCAATGAGAAAACTGAGGCATCCAGAGGCTAGTAAGTGACAGGATCTACATTCATAACCAAGCAGTCTAGCTCCAGAATCTTAGTCCTTAAATACTATATTAAAATACTAGTGCAAAAACCCGATGTGGTGTGCCTGTAATCCTAGCACTTGGGGAGCCTGAAACAGGAGGATCATAAGTTCAAGCCTAGCCTGGGCAGTTTATTGATTTTTCAAGCAATATCTCAGAATTTTACAAAGGGGGTGGAGCTTAGTGCAAAGGGCCCGGGGTTCAATCTTTAGCACTGGAAAAATAAAGTTGCCACATGAAGAGACAACATTTAGGTGGACCCTCATAGCTTCTGTCTCCCTAGACAGAGCTGTTCTGGTACACTGACTTGCTTGTCATGAGCCTTCATGATGGGAAAAAAGCACAGTGTTCACCTTGCAAAAAGGGATAGTCTAAGAATATTTTGAAATATCCATAAACCATATAGAAAGTTGAAAAGGAGAACCAACGTGACAATGGAGAGTTTTGAGCTTAAATGAGTCTAGAGTTTACATGCTCTTAATTAATCAATTTTGGTATTCAAGCGTATTTGCCAAAAGACTTAGAATCTGTCATGCATTGGAAAAGAACAAGGTATATACCCAGATTCTCCTTCAATGGACAGTCCAATTCCTTGCCCTGGCCCTTTGCCCCCTACAATAAAATAAATCAACTCTAAATAAGAAATGTAAGCAAAAGGATAGTAACTCCCAACAAACATGAAACCCGCCTTTTTTTCATACAACTGTGGTGGAACTGTTTTAGAAGTTATCTTCAGCATAGAAAACCTGCTTTGGAAATATGGCAAAGGAAGCCATCTTATCTAAATGGCCAAGAATGAAAAAGAATATTAAATGAGGTCAATGTAACCCCATTCCCTGAAGAACAAATAAATTCTTCAGCTACCGATCAAGAACAATTAAGTCTGGATAACTGCCAATCAATTCACTGCCTTAGAGAGAAACATCCACCCCCGAGCTCCCACCTTCCAAGAACAAGGCAGTTTGTGTCCCTTCCCCATAGGGTGAGTGAAATTAGGAAGAGATGGGAATGAGCGCAAAACGGAAGGTGTGGGGAGGAGGGCGGAAGCTTCCTGACATGTCGGCAAACACAGATCCTTCCAGTTGCCGCTTTCCCGCTCTGAGCCTGTGAGCGGCCACTGAAGCTGTGGTGCTGGTTTTTGGGTTAATGGTGATTCCGTAAACAAAGAAACTTCAATATGTTTTCCTCGCAAAATGTTCACAGCGCACACACAGCTTTCACAGGCCTGATGGCTGTGCCTTCTGCAAATGCTCAGCTTCACTGTTTTATCAATCGTGATGATTTGGTGCCCTCCTCTGGCCTCACCGCAGCAGTTCCACTTAGCTTCACTAAGGATTGCTGGACGAAAGTCCATGATGAACTCACAGAAATCTGCCTCCAAGAGAGACCTACTTTTGTCTGCACTTATAAGAATCATTGCAATTCTCCAAGGCATAGGAAAGTTTGGCCGGTCCGATCTCAAGTGTTTAAATTCCACGTATTTAAGGTGATATAATTTTGCTTAATGTATTTTTAAATATCCTCCAAGGAGATTGCGAATTTTACTGGCTCTCCACAGTTAAGATGACTAAACTACCTGAGCTCTGCTTAGGGGACAAAGGCTGTTTACTCTGGAGAAATCAATCTGTAAACTCAGCAAATAGGAAGATATTATAGATCTTTGTCAAAGAGGAAGGTGATTGAGAGGTATAGCGATGGGAAGGAGGAGATGAAAGGGGATGAAAAATGACTTAAAATTTGTTGTTACATGTACCACCTCCACACGAGGATCGTAAATATCATTACTGCAAACATGTACTAATAAAGAAAATCATCTGGAAAAATACTAAAATACTTAGAATATCATGCAGTTGAAATATGTATCAAGAACTCAGATTTTAAAATGTCATTAAGGTCATGGCAATTCCTATCATTTCAAGTTATTCGCTATCCCTCACTCAAGTCCCAAGGGTGTTTAACCAAAGAAACACAAGTTGCGTCCAGTTTCAGAAAATTTCTAGCATCTCAGTGTGAGATTCTTCTCTATCTCAAGATTTCTTTCACTGTAGTTCCTCTCTCTGCCATCACGGTGCCCTTCTGTTGGGTCACAGTTGAGGACAACATATTCCATGGTTTCCATTTATGTCATTAAGGGGTTGGACAAGAGGATGAGGTACCTCAGGCTCATAGTTGATGAGCGAGAGAGTAGAGCCAACACAAGCACCAGAGAGAGGCCCTGTGGGTGTTATACCATAGCAGAACAAAATGACCAGCTGTGAGGACAAGCAGGTGAAAACTTAGGAGTTTCTTTGTGGATTACAGGAGGATGGCTGTGGAAGTTGTCCTTGAGCAGAGCTTTGGATGTGAGTGCTAGCTCTTAATGCCATAGTTATAAATAAAATACATGTGAGACACATAGACAAGAGCGTATGACATTCTAATTCTTCCTTTCTTGCCCTTTCCTTCAGAGCTCTAAAATAGAGGAACTTTCTGAGTTCTCACACACAATTGATTATTCCTAACTGGTGAAAAATAAAACTCAAAAAGTCTCAGGAAAAAAAGATCAGATAAATTAAAATTCATCTTTGGGATAAGAAGCAAATAAAAGTCTAGACATAAGTCCTTTTCTAAAAACCCGTGGAGCAATTTGGTTTGTATACAGTAAATATTTTCATTTAAGAATAAAAGGCATAATGCCAGGTGTGGTGATTGCATGCCTGTAATTCCAGCACTGGGGAGGCTGAGGCAGGAGAATCGCTGTGAGTTCAAGACCAGCCTGGGTTACATAGTGAGTTTTTGGTTTGTATACAGTAAATATTTTCATTTAAGAATAAAAGGCATAATGCCAGGTGTGGTGATGCATGCCTGTAATTCCAGCACTGGGGAGGCTGAGGCAGGAGAATCGCTGTGGGTTCAAGACCAGCCTGGGTTACATAGTGAGTTCCAGGTCAGTCTGAACCACATAGTGAGACCGTTTCAAAAAAAAGGCATAAGGAAGAGAGTAACAAAATGAATCACAGAGGACTCACATTAGTACTAGATCCTATATAAACCAGTTATTTAATCCTTCAATGAAAGACCAGATGTGGGGTAGGAGGAAGGGGACACTAATTAAAATGTGTTATGTACATGTACCAATACCCTACAGTGAATGTGATCACTATATACTACAAACAAGTGCTAATAAAAGTTAAAAAAAAAAGACCAAACTGTACTGCATATTTAAAAAGCACCAATAAACTCAGTAAGATAAAAAAAAAGACCAGATATATAGGTGGCTAAGTATGCACCATGCATTAAACTTTATGAATATCTTTATGGTCTGCAGGGCAAAGGAGTGCTCTGCTAAAAAGAGTTTTATTATCCCTCAATATTGTCTGTTAGGCAGTATCTACTAAAATTATCCAAATAAATGACAAGTTGATAAACAGTAATTTCCAATGGTGCATGAAAGTGGTATTTCCTCACTACCATAAAATGTTTTGGCAGATGAGATTAATGGAATCAGAAACCTACAGATACTGAAATCACAGAACCAAATTGTCTGTCGCAGTACTTACCATGTTAAATTAAAGTTGTTTATTAAATATCTTTACTTACTTTTTTGGATGTTATAATACTTGCCTTTTTCTCCCCAATGTCTGTCATAGAATTTGACAAACAACAGACAGTCAAATATTTTCCCTAATTCAATTAAATGTCCCGTTTAAGGTCATTTTGCTCACTGATGTAATAGGATAGAAGCTTTTAAATTTAAATTCTTATCTTTCATTACTAAGTAACTTTTAAAAAAATGAATGGAAGCCTAATCTGGCAAAAATGGTAATATTGTAGATCTACACGGCACTACCTTCTCAGAAAAAAAGGCTAGAATCCTAGGCCAAGTGGACAGCTGTAAGTTTCCAGTCAGTGACCCTAGTTTAGGAACAAAATATATTATTTTATATTTTTGAGACAAAAAGGTTAAAATATAAACAAATTTAAACTGAGAATACTCACTTTAAAATAAACAGTGTGATCTTCAATATCTGGTTTCAGAAAGAATTTCAAAAGTTTCCAATACTTCTAAGACGCCTATGGAAATATGAGATGAGAATACAAGGTACACATATATTTCTTCCAAATTGTACATGGAAATTAACACAGAAAAACCATTCGTCCAGACCACAACAGAAATGGTTTGTTCATTAAATCAGAGAATCAATTGGTTATAGTTTATTCGGGCTTCACCTGCACCATCTAGTGTAACACAGCAGTACCGACAAGGCTCCAATAGACAATTTGAAATGATTGGCTTAGTCTTCAGTGATCCTCTTCTGACATTATGCCAATGCTGAAGGAGTTTATAATGAATCAACACTTTAGGTAACTCATCTCTCTCCTTTCTTAGCCAGCAAAAAATGTAATTCCCCTGTCTTGTGTGCAAAGAAGCAGTACACAGCCTTGAATGATGAGTATAGTAGGTCTTGAAGCAGCCCCACCGAAGCTACAGGAGCAGATCTGTCCCATTCAATAAGCACTTCTTTCCGAATGACCGACAGCCAGGGTGCAGAGACCAGAAATACAAATGCTGGCAAGGGTGCAGATATTCCCAGGAATAACAACAACTATAAAGTCATTTTCGTTTTATTCTATTTTTTGGTTCCCTGCCCTATGATGCCGATAACAAATCAACCATTCACTGCCTTTGTAGGGGGGAAGAAAAAGACATCTGAAAGATTGATAACTCCCTTAGCTCACTGCCCTCCCTATGCTAAAATTAATAAAAAAAAGAAACTTTTCAGTCATTAAAATTCTTCATGCACACACAGTCTCTCCCTGTGCCCCAATTCACACACTTTATGGTCTTCAAACGACTGCGGACTTAACAAGTTTCCAATCTAACTTCTTAGTGACAGCCAATGAGTTGTCTGTGGCATGGAAGCATTTCTTTCTCTTTAGATATTTTACTCAGTTCTTAGGATGCCACGAATCTCATTTGGGAGCTGCACACCATCACCCACGTATTAACTTGTCACCTTGAGTAATAAAGTTCACAAACTCCATTTCATTTTTTTCTTCACTATGTTGCCTGATAATATAAAAAGGTGTCACATCTGTTTGATTTGTAGCTAGTGTGTTAGTGAAATAGCCTCTCCACAAACAACCTGATGAAGTCAAGAAAGCTAAATGACTTTTTTTTTAATACCTAGGTCTATTTCCCAGTAAATATTCATGTGCATAAACATAAAAGTGTTAAATGAGGTGAAATCTTGGTAATTGCACAAATAGGAAAAAGTCAAAGCGTGATTGTTCTGAGTGGGGTAGAAATTTCTAGACTCACTGACTCTGTTTAAAAGCAGTGACCCCAAATTACACAGGTAGGTATGGCATTTCAAGGCATTTGAATGACTAAGATATCAAAAAGTGCCACATTGGTCATACATACTTGAAAAATAGCTATCTGCCCTTTCAGAGCTTTTCTTCATTTAGGCATGTTTGTGATATGCAAAATATATTTATGCCTGGTCCATTTTAACAACCTGTTTTCTAGTGAATATATTTGTAGTTCATTTTGATAGGCACTTCAATAACTATTATTTTTTCCCACCCGTATGTGGGTAGAAGAGAAGAGCAATCGATCACAGATACTATTTCCACATTCCCAGAAAAATAATGAAGAATTCCTGTGGGTATGTGCATTGAGATCATCAGCTATTTTCATTATTTATCAGTTTAACCCTAGATATAGTAATTTTTAGTTGAGGGTGGCATAGATGTAAACATTATTTTGGGGGCCTGTAATTCAAAGGTTTCACAAAATTCTGAACTTTGCCAAGTGAGGATGATTTCAGGGTAAGAGTCTCTGCTGTCAGATTATAATTATAACTGTTTTTAACCAACATTATAGTGGCAATGTGAAGAACAGGTATGAGCAAGAAAAGAAAGGCTACAGGGAAGAGTAGATGGATTTACTGCGTTCACAAAAAGGGTAGATTTACCCATGCATGGAGAATAAATAATTTTTAAAAATAAAACAAAGTCAACAAAAGCTGGACATTGAAGGAAGTCTTTTATATATCTATACAGAAAGAAAGGGGAAAAAGGAACTCATTCCTTAGTAATGTTAGACATTAAAAAGATCGAGTGGAAATTTAAAAGCTTCTATTGTTTTATCTTTACATGAAAATAATTCTTTGAAATCTAGTAAAAGAGTTTGCTTATACAGAATACCTTTCATGATGAGTTATAAAGTAGTGCCCTCTTATCCACAGGAGATGTGTTTCAAGGATCCCAGGGGATGCCGGAAACCACTGACTTACCAAGCCCTATATATGAGCATTGCCATTACTGTGACAGTGAATCTGACAACAGAGGAAGCTGGGTGACAAATGGGTAGGTAGCATATACAGCATAGATACACTGAGCAAAGGAGTCACTCAAGTAATAGTGAGGACAGAGCAAGACAACATGAGATTTCCTCATGCTACCCAGAATACAGTGCAATTTAAAACTCATGAGGTATTTATTTCTGGAGTTTCCCATTTAACATTTTCAAGCCAAAATTTACCACAGGTAACTAAAACCATGGAAAGCACAACTCACATATAAGGGGAGAATAATGTATTTTCAATTTTTTTTCAAAATTCCTAAAGAAAGATAATTTCTAGTTCATCCATAGGTTGTATTCTACAGAAGCAGGGCCTTACGCTGCATTTATAGTGTCCAGAAAGGACAAATTGAAGGTATCTCTGCTTTAGAAGGAATAAGAGGCAGAAAGTATTTATAAAACAAACAATAACTAATGTATATGCCAAAGAAATTGGCAGATAAAAGCATAATAAATTTATGAATTTAAAATGAATGTGTTCAAGGCAAAAATATTTATTTGAGATAATTATATATAATAATGATATATAATGATATATGTATATACATATATACTGTCCATAAATCAAGGACAAAATCTAGAAACTAAAAAATAAACAATAGAAGCTCTGGGAGGAAATAAATCAGACAGAAAACCACAAAAGTTAGAGTTTTCAGGAAGTTTTTTAAAGATAGAAAACAGAAGTGGGATCAATAACAGATAACATATGAAAGAAGTTATGATCTGAGAGTTCTGCAAAGGAGGCTACCTTTGAAAACAAGTCAGCTGGCCTTACTGACCCAAGAAGGACTCCAATTTGGAAAGTCAGAATACTGTAGAGTAGGAGTAGGGTATATGATTGAAACCAGAGGTGTTAATTGAAACCCTCTACGTGCCTTTCCCGGTGACCCCTTACAGCTTTGGTGGTTATCACTTGCCCACCCTACTCTCACCATTCACTTTTCTCTAAAAGGTAGATTTATCTTCTAGAGAAACTGAATCTGAAGGCTTCAGAATTAAATCACCATGCCTAAGCAGAGGATGCAAAAGTGGGAAAGTGAGGCTCACAAAGGGATTGAATCAGTGAACTTTTACAGTGAATAGTTGTTTATTTCCACATCTTTTCATCTCAATCCATCTTTATGAAAGTTAACATAGAGTTAGACACTGGTAATTATTTGTTGTATGATACTAAAGAAACCCAGGATACTTGTACTGCTCTATTCAGTAAGCATCATGAATAGCTTGCTAAGTACATTAATCTTTCCAAATACTTCCATTGCCTTCACTTTGAAATAGTGTTTTATTTTTCCTAATTTAACTTACTGCTAGTATGTAACTCAAAAATAGCAATTTTGTTTCTTATTTTTATAGTAGATTTACTATAATATACTTAACATTTATTTGGACACCTCTTTCTTGCTTCTTCTGCTGTACACAAGATTTAGAGATGTTTGGAATACTTAAAAATATTTTTAAAAGGATTTCTTACAGCATTTGATAAGGTCCCAAAATGTGCAGGGCCTTTAAAATCTAGGTAAAAAGCAAAAGAAGTTTGACTTTTACTTTCTGGAAGTTTATAATCTGGATAGTAAATCAAATACACAAAATCAACTACAAAATATTTTCTCAAGAATTTCATTTGGAACATGGGGCTGAGAGCTAGAAATCAAAATTATAGATATAAAATCTGATGACCTAGAATTTCTTTTTCTGATACACAAAATATGCAGTTGGTACAGATAAATAGAAGTGAAGCATTTACTTTGTTAGCTGCCAAACACAACCCCCCCAAAATAATATTTAAAACACAAAATTCTTTTATTGATTTGCTTTCATTCTTAGCTGTCTTATTTTTAATTTTTCAGAGCTCTTCATCTCCCACTGTTACTTTTCAATAGAATTCTGTTCTTTGTTTTAAAGTGATCTTATTTTTCAAAGAATATTAATAATAGGTTTTTTAATGCTTTCTTATCCTTTTTACCACTTATTTTTTCTTCTAGAAGATTCTCTCAAAAATTCACAATACTTGGCTGTCTATTCATTTCTAAGAGTAAGGCAAAAGGAAATTAACTGAAAGCTGTGGAACAGCACAACTTAGATGCTGATGACTTTACTATGCTTGAATGTGTTCTGGTGTCGCCACTATGATGATTTTAAGTGATAAGACCTTTAAGAGCCATGATGGCTTCTCTTTCATAAATGAGATTAAGACCTTAGTTAAGAGGTTTCCCACAGCACTTGGCTCACCTGCTCCTCCTCATGTGAGGACATAGTATTTCCCCTCCCTGGAAGATACAGCGACACCATACCATCCTGTAAGCAGACACCAGCCCTCACCAGAAAAGCAATCCTACCAGGCCCTGCTCCTGGATTGTCAGCACCCAGAACTGTGAAAAAATAAATTGCTGCTCCTCACCCAGTCTGAGGATTTTGTTATAGTTACAGCAGCACAAGTGGACTAAACAGACTTACTATAAGGTAACATGAAGAAACTCAGCTTTTCCATTAGGATCTCTCAAATTTTGGGCATCTTTTATTTGGAAGTATTTGATTCTTTTTTTTTCAGGGAGGAATATTGTAATATATTTTCCTGAAATGGGGTTTAACCCCCCTCTCTATAAGCAAGGAGGAAGAAGAACACTCTAGAGTGTACCAAGCTACAAATGAAAATGTAGGATGCTTATCACTTTAAGGGTATAAAAAGCCATATAAAAGAATTTGG